CTCTATGCATGTGTGTGTACTTTTATGTGTGAGAGTGCATCTGTGTGTGCTTGTTATAGAGCGAGTGTGTGTGAATATGTGCGTGCTTGTATATGTGTTTGTGTGAGTGTATGCTTGTGTGTAGCAGGACAGATGGTCTGTGATCTGTCTTGGCTCTCTCTATCAGACACACACACACACACACACATGGACAGGTGGACACTCATCTCTCTTCTTCTTCTCTTCTTCTGTTTCTCCCTCAGGAACTCCAAAAAGGAGCTGAATGACATACGGTTTGAGTTCACTCCAGGTCAAGGTCAGTGCTCCTCATCAGCATCAGTCGCAGTGTGTGTTTCTTCACTTCCTCCAGGGAACGTCTCGCTCGCGGCAAAACATTACAGCGATGTGATTTCAGACACAAGATTGACACAATTTCTTTTCCACTTTCCTGCAGACACTTTAATGGTTTTTAGCCCTGATACTATACAATGAGGAATGAAGGAGCAACATTCAGGGCCCTATCCTTCATGCGCAATAAGGCGCAAGACGTGTTTGGAGCGATTTGTTGTTATTTTCAGACCAGCGCAACTCTAAATTTCATGTTTGCTGCTACATTATTTAAATAGTAAATCTATTTGCACCACTTTTTGGACTTATGGGTGTGCCGGTCTAGAACGGAGGTGTGTTAAGGCGCATTGTTGGCACGTTACTATTTTGAGGAACTGAAATAGACTGCACCATTGACCAACTAAATCCTGGTCTAAAGTCCAGCACAGAGCGCGTTAGTTGTGTGCCTATGCAGGTCCAAACGCTTCCACGTTGCTTAATACACACAGGATGTACAGCAATACACAAATATATCTACATGTGAAAACAATTAAATGATTAAAATGATACAAAAATTATTTTCTATTATCTTGTTTATTATTTGCATATTTTTATTTGTTTTAATAAAAACAATGTGCCATGGCGCGACGCAACTGACTCTTAAGCACGTTGCACACCAGAAGCGCCGCTCGGCGCCGCGACACGGCGCGCACATGACATATTAAAGTATCGCACACCAGACGCGCACATTCGAATGATATTTAACATGAAACTAATCAGATGGCGCTCTGTGGCGCGGCTGAAAGATGAACTGCGTCCTGAGTCGTGGGCGGGCGCCGGCTACAGCCGCCGACTTGCGGCGCCGCTGTGTGTATCCTGATAGAAACCTATGTTTAGAATTCTAAAATGCATGGCGCTGCGCGGCGCCGAGCGGCGCTTCTGGTGTACGACCTGCTTTAAAGGGCCATGACACCCCCCACTTTCGGTTAAAGTCTTGTTGGGATAAATTGCAGATCGTCTGTGTGTTTCCTCAGTAAGCTGGAGCTCCAGGAAGGCAACAACAACTGAGAGATGTGAATCCAACAGTTTATTGCTCTCTTCTAAAGAAGTCTGGGGTATTCCCAGCTTTTATACATCATACTCAGGGTTACATGGGCTATGAATACGTGCAAATATTCAGCTCAGTTAGGCAGAACAATTTTATCCAGTGCTCAAGAATGTCAAGGCGCAACGTCAAGGCGCCTAGTACAGGGACAACTTACAATAAG